CGCGTTCTGGGGGGGGGGGAGGTCCGTTCGCTGCGGGGCCCACACAAGTGCGGAGCCCGGTGCGACTGCACCAGTTGCACCCCCCTAAGGACGACCCTGATTAAAATGACAGGACAATAAGTAAACGATGACAGAAGTTAAATTTTTTGTGCATACTGTTCCTTTAAGGTGAGGGACTTATGTACATTTTCGAGAAGTCAGTTACACGTTGAGTGATGCGATCGTGGATCCAGCCTCCTACATCACACTGCACTTGGCCTTCAGCTTGTCTGCACGTCTCTGCTTGCTGGAGCGCATGTTCAGACTCATATCACGCTTCTTATCCAGATTCAGGAGCTCTTGAAAAAGCTCCTTCACGTTGGTGTTGGTCTTGGCTGATGTTTCCATGAACGCGCATTTCCAGATATTTGCCTGAGCTTCCCCCTCCTTGGTCTCCACCTCGCGCTGGGTCTCGTCACTCTTGTTGCCAACAAGCATGATGGGGATGTTCTCCACGTTACCTTTGATGGCCAGCACTTGCTGGTAGATGGGCTTCAGCTCCTCCAGCGACTGCCTGCTTGTGATGGAGTAGACCAGGATGAAGGCGTGGCCTTTGGAGATGGACAGACGCTGCATAGCAGGGAACTGGTGGCTGCCAGTGGTGTCGGTGATCTCCAGAGTGCATACGCTCTTGTCGCAGCTGATGACCTGCCGGTATGTGTCCTCCACTGTCGGGATGTAGGTGTCCCTGAAGGTGCCTTTAACGAAGCGCAGAACCAGGGAGCTCTTGCCCACTCCCCCTGCTCCAAACACCACCACCCGGTAATCGTTGCTCTGCTCTGGCATGCTTCTTGGGTTTGTCGGGGTATGTGGTGGTTAAGACTCAATTATTCCCTGAGATCGGTTGTTGTTTTTTTCATTTTAAATGTAATTTTATAATTGCATTGTATATACAGTATTATATATCTGCATGCCCTCTCAAGTACATTATACTGTGCTCATGATTGTTTTATATGTTTTATGTATTTTTAATATTCTCACTTTTTTACTTTAAAATTGTACAGTCTATTCCAATCAATCTATTAAGGCAAGGAAGCTAAGCTATTCCTGAGCATGTGCAATCAGCATGTGAAGGGCATGAAAACAAGTAAACATCAAATAAAATATATAAATATATACTGTATATATACATTTTTTTAGGCCAATGAGAAATTTGGGGAAATATGCTCTTAAAAGTCTTTTTTTCCCCATACCCCAACTTAATATGCAGAGGAAATCACTACTGACACACTAATTGAATTATAATTATTTTTATATTATTTTAAGTATTTCATATGAATATATTAATGATGTAAATAGGATTCAAATAAAATTAACTCAAGGTTGTTGTTTTTTTCATTTTAAATGTAATTTTATAATTGCATTGTATATACAGTATTATATATCTGCATGCCCTCTCAAGTACATTATACTGTGCTCATGATTGTTTTATATGTTTTATGTATTTTTAATATTCTCACTTTTTTACTTTAAAATTGTACAGTCTATTCCAATCAATCTATTAAGGCAAGGAAGCTAAGCTATTCCTGAGCATGTGCAATCAGCATGTGAAGGGCATGAAAACAAGTAAACATCAAATAAAATATATAAATATATACTGTATATATACATTTTTTTAGGCCAATGAGAAATTTGGGGAAATATGCTCTTAAAAGTCTTTTTTTTCCCCCATACCCCAACTTAATATGCAGAGGTGGCTGTAAGTAAGCATAGGTTGATTCCACCAAAAGTGTAAACACTGTGGCTCTGTGGCACTATCAAAACATTGATCTGTTTGTCTGAGCACCCGGACTAGCTCAATACATCAACATCAGCTCAACCAATAATGTGCGTCTGACTCGGAACCAGCTAGAGACGGAGGGGTGTTTGGAATGATAGTTTGATACTACTGGCGCAGAAGTTTCACCAATAATTTGTAACAAATATTAAAGCAAAACATAATTTCTGATTTCTTTCTTTTTATTTAGACGTGAAATATGACGTTCTTGACAGTTTGTATGAGATACTACAAGACACCATTGGTAACAGGGTTGCCTGACATTATTATTTACATATGAAAGATTATGTGTATCTTTAGATGCATTTACATTGTGACTGTGCCTCAGATGGTGTGAACCACATAGAAAGGATGGAAAGAGAATGGTCAGCATTTTCCTGACGTGAATGTTTCTCTCTCTCGCTGTGTGTGTAAATATATACATAAGAGTGTATGTCTGTGTGCCTTTGTGAATTGAGTAGGACGGTCTCTGCTGCCATCAGCATCAAGGTCATCTATTAATGATATCTTGCTCATTTATCTTGCTGTGAAGCAGCCGTTGGACTCAGTCTCCTGTGGAAAGCAAGATCACACCAGATATTTCTGGCACCTTACTGGATTCTTGCAGCATTTGGAGACAGGGGCCACTTCCTGACTACCTCAATAGAGATTTACTCAAATGCCTAATTTTCACATGACAGATCGATAAACACAGAACAGACCAATGCAGTCTGCGTTTAAGTGCTTGAAAATGCTCACATCTACTCAGCCCCAGAGGAAAATTCAGTGGTACTTCTGAATTAGCAGTAATGATTATCACTCAGATGAACAGAGACCAAATGAGCCTCTTACTGAAGACTTCCTCTTTGGTTCGCCAGCAGCATAAGATGCAATCTCAGTGGAAAGCAAGTTTTGAATATTAAGGATGTTTTGTCAAGCCCTTATACATCTCATATTCCATAAATTTTTTTCTGTCATAGTAAAACTGATCAGATGTAAAGGTCAGACATTTTATAAAGAGGCTTAACAAATCCTGTCCATTGGAGTTAATGCACAAGACTGTGAGAGATGCGATGTGCTTTTGAGAACAATGGATCTGGCATATGAAAAATAAATGCCAGAGTCAAGATAAATAAATGACTGGATGCGATACCATTTCTGTACTTTCTGTCCTCTCCACAGACACAAAAGTCAAAGTAATGAGATACTAAGTCATAACTATAAGATAAAAAAGCCATAATTATGAGATTAAATTCATAATTATGACAACATTTGGAATTATAAGATAAGTTATACGTACTTTT